AATATATTGCCGACCGGCAAAGAGTGTGGCTCATATGACTAAACTTTAATGTTGAACGTTCAAAACTTAATTTTTCTAAAAAAATTAGTGTAAATTATAAATACACTTCTTAAGATTTGCTTAAAATACAAATTGTTCTCTATTATTTGAAAAATTATAAATGCCCCCTTGTCAAAAAAAATTATTTAACAGCATTAACTAAAAAAATAAAATTCGTAACTGTTTTTTTATACAATAATAAAATTACTTGAATCATAAGTTGAAATAAAATTTTGACGTTATTAAAAATAGTTAATTGATTTGATGGTTTATTAATAAAATGGACTATTTTATATGAATAAAAAAATTTCAAAGAACGAGATGTAATTTATAAAACTGCATGTGACAATTCATAGTTAAAACAAATTTTAGAGATTATGTTGCAATTTATCCTTTTTTTTTTATCAAGATTAATTTCACTAAGGCCCCCCAACTATGAGCGAATATCACTTTATTCCCAATCTATGAACTGATATATTTTAATCTCTCAACTATAAAAACAGTATATTTATAAGATTTTTATAATTGAGAAATCAATATGTATAAATTCATAAATGAAAGGAATAAATTGATATTTATTAATAGTTAAGAAGTTATTAGAGTTTGTTTGGGAAGTGCTAAATAAGTATATTTTTTTAATTTTTGCAAAAAAATATCCAAATATATATATATATATATATATATATAACCCAAAAAATAAATGAATAAGTGCATTTATTTTATTTTATATATGCCAAACAACCCCTTAGTATATATGCCAAACAACCCCTTAGTATAATTTAAACTTGCCAAACGGACCGCAAGTGAGTGAGAGAAGTATCGCTTCTTTTAAACGCACAGACTAGTGCAAAAAGCCAAGCTTTGATCTTCCGGTCTCCTCTTTGCATCTCTCGAATTCTCAATCGGTAAAGTTTTTCTTCTACTTCTCATCCCTTTTTACTCTAATTTTGAAATCAATTCGTCTCGTATGATCTGTTATTCCCTGTTTTTTTCACTTTCAAGTCCAATTTTGTTTATCACTTTGATTCATCACCCTAGATTTATGTATATATATATATGTTTTTTTTTTTGGGTAAGTAATATATATATATATGTTTATTTACAAATCTTTTGGTTTTTATGCTTCAATTTCAGTAACTAAGTGTTGGTTATAGGGAGAGAGAATGAGATATATAGGGTCTCATGGTGTTGCTGAGCTACATAGATACAAGTACAGTGGAGTGGATCATTCATTGGTTGCAAAATATGTACTACAACCCTTTTGGAGGCGATTCGTTAACTTCTTCCCACTTTGGATGCCGTAAGTCTGTTCTATTTATTTACTGTTCATTTATTGAGTGATGGATCACTCACTGTATTCATGTTTCATGATCAATTTTCTTTTGGGTTTTTGAATATATTAAGATTAGAATCGGTATACGATCGTTTTGTTTCAGAAAATAAGATTGTAAATGTATGATTGAATTCAAAATCTGAAAATTGAAATGAATCTGAAAAAATCAAAAGTTCAGAGATTTGAAAAAAACAAAAACAAAAAATGAATTTGGTGCATAATAGCCCATATAACTGATATAGGGGTATTTTTGGAAAACCTAAAATATGAGACATAAACACCCACTACATATATATACACCTTTATTCAGTATTTCATTTGGTAATATCAATGTGGGGTTGTATACTTGAGAAATGGTATTTGAATCTGTCGCCTATTATACTATATGAGAAATGATATTTGTCACCTGATTTATTTCACTATACTATTTGACCCTCTAGGTGTATTTATTCAATTTAAGACATTGTGCATATTTAATAAAGGGCAAATTTCACTTCAATGTGCATGTGCAAACTACCCATATAATTTGGAAATAACTATAATGTTCTTGTGGAAGGGGGTTATGTTCTTATTTTCAAATATCAGAGGTAAATCACACATAGAGTAAAGCAAAGGGGGTTAAAGTCAATTTCATCTTTCAAAAAAATGACAAATATAATATGAATTTCAATTAAGAATACTAAGTGTATGGAAAGATTAACGTTTTTTCATAAGTTAAATTTTATGAAACTAATTTGCACTAAATGAAAATATTAAAAAAAATATTTAATTTTGAATGTATTTTATTAAAAAAATATTTGTATTGACTTCAAAATAATAAATGAAAAGATCATGTTCTATCAAATAAAACATCATGTTCTCTCAAATATTTAATTTTGACTCTATTTGATTCAAAAATAAATATTTTTATTGATTTCAAAATAATAAATGAAAACATCATGTTGTCTGAAAATATTTAATTTTGACTCTATTTTATTTAAATAAAAAAATTTTGGTTTAATTTCGTTTGGTTTATTTCACTATATTTTGGGTCAGGCACCCAGAATATGATTAAAAAATTTAATGAGCTGAATTTGTAATACATTTAATAGCATTATAGTATAAATTAAAATTTCCTCACAAAACTTAAGAACATTTGAAAAAGTTTTTGAAATAGGTATTGAACGAAGTGACTTATCGCCATTTTCGCTTTGTGACTATTCACCACCATTGAAAAGGAAAATCTGAACATTATGTCTTAATAATTTTTTTTTATTTATATAATTACAAGTCATTATTAGACTAGTTCTAATATATGCATGAAAAGAGTCTTAAAATATTCTAATTAATAGTATATAGCAATTTCGTATGTAAGAAGGACAAAAGGGATATATGGGGTTGTTTTAATTTATAACAAAGCCTCTATGACCTCTAAAAAGTGGACGAGGGTTTCTAGTTTACATAGGAAATAACTTTGACATTAAGGTCCCTAATGGCACAAGTTTGAGCAAATCAAATTAACTTAATTGTACATAAATCTGAAGAATTGGATCACCAGTTTTAAAAAATTAATAACAATGTTTGAAACCTCTATTAAGACAAGAAGTACAGATGTTTTGATGTTTTTTTTTTTAAAATTAAGACAAGAGACCAATGACAACAAACAACATTCACGTAGGAAAGATAAGAGTCTTCAAATAGGAAGTAAATAAAAACTCCACGTAGAGATGAAATCTCAGCTGTTGTTTTATACGAATAAAAATAAGTGAGAAAAATGAGAAAATGAATAGTAATAATCAAATTGAGACACAAATATACATTGACAAAATATAAATTGAAGTAATGTTTCACCTCTACAGTTCCTTCAACCCTGGCAAAATATAAATTGACAAAAAATGAGAGGGTTGATTTTTATTGAAAAATGTCACTTATGATATAAATGTGACTTCTGGAAAATTTATTGTTGTTCTTTTAATGTTTATTTTAGAAGTACAATTCGATATTTGTATGTTGTTGATATTTTAATGTTTATTGTTTCATTGAAGCAAGTATATGACAACTGTTCCAATTATCTTCTACTGGGGGGAAAACATAATTCGGGATCCCGATGAAGGCGTGTCATATGATGCTGAGCCGAAAGGGATATATGGGGTGTAACTTGACACCACACTTAACAATTTGGAGGAGATGTTTATGTCCAAGGTGGCAAGTTACGGGAAAATAGTCCGATTGATCTTCAAATGTAAATATCCTTATCGTCAGTGGCAAGCAACCAGCAAATACAAAATATTACCGATAAATGACGATGAGGCGTTGAACACCATATTAAGTATCGGTGGAAGTTTCCAACCACCAAATTGTTTGGAAGTGTATATTCAGAAAGAGGTTGTACACAATCTTCCGAATATGACACAGATGGATTCTCATCCGTTCACTACATTGCTGACACATGGGATTGACACGACAGCGTTTCAGTCTCCTATGTATGAATCAAATGAATGTTACGCAGTGGGCTACACACAATAGACATTTCATGGCCATGGTCGAGAATCAAGTTCACGTGGTGGATATGAGACTGAATTTCACAATAACACCAAAGATGTGCCCACCTACAGCCATCATACCACTCCAGTTGAAGTTGCTGGTAATATGGTTGAAACGGTTAATTCCGTGCAGTTCGCTGACAGTGACATGTACGGTCCTGATGTCGCCCTAGACAATGATGAGAATGAAATGTATGATGAAGAACATTTTTTGGGCGGATTAGATGATGATGATGATGAAGAAGATGATGTCGACGCTCCCGTTGCTATTCAGAATGCCCCCATTCCACCTAGACCTCAAATCCCTTTCTATGAAAACATTCACATGGGTGGTGATTTTGACATTAGTAACTGCGATGTCGTTCCCCGTAACCGAATCTGGAATGCTAAAAATCCAAAGTTAGACAAAGGGATGGTTTTCGTTGATAAGAAGCAACTCGTACATGCTATGAAATTGTACCATGCAACAAATAATCGAGAGTATAAAGTTGTAACCTCGAAGCGAGACGTTTGGGTGGCTGCTTGCAAGCACGATTGCAGATGGTGGTTGCGTGCATCTCTTAGTAGGATACATGGTCTTTTTGAAATAAAGCAGTATAGGGGTCCTCACCATTGTTTATACCCACGAATGAACAGAGACCACACTAATATTAACTCCAGTTACATTGCTTCTCATCTTTTGGGACTAGTTGCGGTGAATATACAAAATAAATTTTTACATTTATATACATATTTGTTTGTTTAAAGTGTTCACACCAAAATAATCTGACTCATAGGTATTGTCGTATGCAGAATGAACCTGATATGCCCATTAAGAATGTCATCGAAGATGTCAAAAAAACTATGAACTATAGTATATCATACAAGAAGGCGTGGCATGCTAGGGCAAAGGCAATTAGAATGGTATTCGGGGATTGGGATGAATCATATACGATGTTGCCTAAAGTCATGCATGCATTACAACATCTAATCCCGGCACCATCGTGCGATGGAAGCATAGATATACCGGAAGTACAACCATTATGCCCGTCTTTCACTTTGTTTTCTGATCTTTCAAACCCGTCATCGATGGATTTAGACATTGTAGGCCTGTTATAACCATAGATGGTACATTCTTATAAGGGAAATACACTGGTGTGTTGCTTGTAGCAACGATTGTCACTGCTAATGGCAAAGTATTACCGCTTGCATTCGCTGTTGTCAACAGGGAGAGTTTGGAGTCTTGGTCGTTCTTTATTTCAAATATCAAGGAACATATTGTCATGGATCGACAGGGAGTGACTTTGATATCTGATCGAGCTGAGAGTATTTTAGCTGCTGTGAGGTGGCCTTGGCTTAATCCCTCGCTCCAATTTGTTGGGTATCATCGGCACTGCCTTCGACATGTTTGTAGTAACTTTAACACTAAGTTCAAAAATAAGGAGCTGAAACAACTTCTATGGAAAGCAGGGAGTGCTCATCAACGACGAAACTGTAATGGTTACTTACGACAAATACAGGCTATTGACCAAGAAGCCATCAATTGGGTTTACAAGATGAATCCTGTGGAGTGGGCCCTTTCGTATGACGGTGGATATCGGTGGGGGGTATTGACCAGCAATGATGCAGAGTGCTTCAATAGCGTCTTGAAAGGTGCAAGGAACTTACCTATCTCAGCTATGGTTGAATTTACATTTTGGCGGCTCGTAAAATATTTTGACGAGATGGGAGCCCAAGTTGAAATAGATGTACAAAATGAGTTCCAATAACCTAGAGAGATGCAAAAAACTATTGAGGATGGCATCGCAAGGGCAAATACTTTCAAGTTGATATCGTATGATAGGTTAGTTTGTAATATAAAGTAAATTGTTGTTATTATGTTGTGAAGTTAAGTACACCTAAAAATATGAACTTCATTGGTTTCTATTACAATTTTCTGATAGGCCATGCCGGGTATTTGAGGTGCAAACATCTTTTTGCCATGGACGAGGTCGCAATACACAAATTGTACGGATGAATCAACCCACGTGCAGTTGTGGGAAATATGAGATACGACACTATCCATGTTCCCATATGCTCGCTGTAATGTCTGAATGTGGTGACAATCCATTCGAGTACGTTGATCTAGTATATAGGCTTCCTGTATACATGAGGGTTTGGGAAACTAAATTCAATCCAATACCGCATCAAGATTATTGGGATGATCCGTAGTGGACCTTAATGCCTAATGTACTTCGTCTGCGAGAAGTAAAACGGGGTCCTAAATCTATGTCTCGTATTCTGAATGAGATGGATATATCAGATAGGCGTTTGACTGCTCGTTGTAGTGAGTGCCAGCAGACAGGTCATGACAGGCGAACATGTTCGACGCGACTTGGTCGATGAAGACTATGTAATACTTACATATTGTAATAGATCATTTTTTAATTCTTTATTTGTAGTAGATCATTTTATTCTTTATATTGTAAGTCATTATTTGTAAACGGGGTCGTACATTTAAATAGATCATGTTTTATTTGTAATAGATCATTTCTATTTTTTAATTCTTTATATATTGTAATTGTTTGATTTCATTGACAAAATTTACAACTAACATACTAAACAAATAAATTAAACAAAATGACAATGCAAAAACATTTAACTATACCACGTAGGCCTATGTTTTTTATTCTCTAGTTGATTGAAAATTTCTATTACAACATTTTAGTAAAAATCACATAGTTCTTCTACCATTTTAAGATTTTAATATTTCGTCTGCTGCAAGTATTTTTTACATTTACAATTTATGAATCAAATCAACGTAATTTACAAATTTTATACTTTATTGGAACTTTTACCATTACAAAATCAGTAATGAAGTTTTCTCAAATATGCCATAAATGTAATTAGCAACCTCTTATTGGAAAAAAAAATTATCATTCCATTTTTTCGCAAATATTTATGTATGAAAACTATCCACATGTTACTGGACATTATTAAGCTTATGTAACTGAGACCCTAAAATGATTTTGTAAAACATTTGTATATTAGTTATAACATAGATAACAATAGGTTATGTTGAATTGCTTATCATATTTAATGGCACATAAATTGATAAATTCAGATTTTAGTGAATTGCTTCCATGTTAATGGCACATAAATTGTAACTTTTAAAATAATCGACCACATTTGTTTTTCAAGTTGTCATGTACGAAATAATTTGAGTTTTATTGTTATAGTTAAATTACATGCTCACCAATACAGTTTCTTAAAATGTATTTGTTTTCAACGGTACAGGCTTCATGGCATATCTACCTGATGAGGTCCCATTTCTTAGTCATTCACATCGGTCTGACAGCATATGGGAGGACCCGGTACGCAACCACGTTTGTTGGACTTTACGCTTACAATGAAAATACCCTTCATTTTGTTTTATATTACGTGATAATGCTATAATTTAAACTACTCATTCTGTTATTCAGGACCAGGTACGCACCGGGGTGGCATGCCGGCGGGGAGATTCCGACCTGTGGGAGCGTCCATTGGACCATAGAGTGTTGCAGTGGCTACTACGCGCGGGATTCTATGGTGTCTATCGTATAGGCCATATCAGACTGGATCACCCACTCATTACTGCTCTCGTCGAGAGGTGGCGGACAGAGACTCATACATTTCATTTCTCGACCGGTGAGGCCACCGTCACATTGCAGGACGTATCTGTCCTATACGGTCTATGGATTGATGGGCGAGCAGTTACTGGACCTGACCCACCATTTACGATGGACCAGTGGATAGCCCTATGTGCTGAGCTATTGGGAGTAGCACCTACACCTGCAGACTTACAGACAGGTAGAGTAAGGGTGAGGTGGCTGTCCGAGCAGTTTCAGGGCCATCTTCCAGATCATGCTCCAGATGAGTTAGTACAGCAGCATGCCCGAGCATATATTCTGTGGATTATTGGGGAGTCACAGAACCTACTTAAGCTGATGTACTTGCCACTGTTGAGAGACATTGACGTGATCGGCCAGTACAGCTGGGGCGTCGCGGCTTTGGCATGCTTGTATAGGCAGCTATGTCGCGCAGCTCTGGTGGGTGCGAATCAGATCGGAGGACCCCTTGTTTTGCTACAAGTTAGTAACAATTTTATTACATGTCAGTTCATATAGTATGTCATGTGTCAGTATTGTAATTGCGTTCAAACTATTGCAGATTTGGGCGTGGGAGAGATTGATTCGCATTGCCCCGTCTAGGCGGCAAGTGGTTGCTCCTGGTGAGGTTCCCATCGGCCAGGGAGACATGCAGTTGTCGGCCGGACCTTGAGGTAGCCGATAGAGGGTTGACATGGGCCACGAGGTCATATCGACCCACGTAGTCGTCGTGTATAGAGACCAGCTTGACCGGATGATAGAAGGCGAGGTATGAAATTTAAATACCTAAATTTTAATTGTCATATGGAGTGTATATGTTCATGAGCGATTTTTAATAGACTTGTCGTTATTGTAGTTTATCTGGTAGCCTTATGCGAGGGTCCTCGATACGCTCCCAGACTTTTGCCAACTAGGTGAAGAGATATGGATGGCGAGAGTGCCACTCATTTGTTTTGACGTGGTTGAGTGGCATCTCCTTGATCGTGTCCTCCGACAGTTTGGTCGGGTCCAGTCCGTGCCGGATCAGTGCGACACCGAGTGGCGGTTGCATGCGATTGATAGATGTGGCCGAGCCGCCACTGAATGGAGTGTGCATCATATGCGATACGTACAACTGTGGGATGCCCGTCGCGACAGTATTGTACAGGCTGACTGGAGCGATGGGGTGTAGACGCGCCCTCGGGCCTCATGCTACAGTTCGGACTCAATTGGTGTCACGGTCCTGTATCTAATCTTGCAGAGTGCAATGCAAGACCGATGAATCATCAAAGAGTCCAGATCTGGTAAATCGTTTTTGAAAACAGATTTTTTTTGAAAGAAGTGCCAAACATGGACTGCTTTGCCAGATACAGAGTCGCCACCTAAATATTTTTTATGGGAGAATTTAGGAAGCCCTGACTCGGTGCCAAAGGCCATGTGTCTGTCACGAACGCGTGATATCCATTTTTGAAAAACGTTATGTGTTCTTTTCGCGGTTATTAGCCTAGAATTATTACGTATTGGCACAGCAAACAAGTATAGACCAAATCGCCTAAATTGGAACAAAATATATTCATGCTTGTTTTTGAAAATGGTTTGCTACTCGCAAGTAGGCTAAAAATGTAGATTTCGCCACCCGTTAAGTGGACTTTAGAAAAGATGGTTTTGGCCACTATCTAGTGGGCTTAAAAACTCACAGTTTTAATGGCATTATTCCATTTAGGTAATTCGACCTCCACCCACAGGCACTCAGTTTGAAATTTGCTACTCGCAAGTAGGCTAAAGCACGGACTTCAACGAGTTGTTCCAACTCAAACAATCCAACCTTCACCTATAGGCATTCAAGCAGTTTATATCACATAAACATCTAGCCTCATGGTAATCATGCTATTATGGCCACACTCACACGCATGCGATATGCTAAAGCATAATTGCTTACCTAGTACTCCGAGCCAAAACAAAAGCTAGTTAGTAATCAATGCATGATCCTAGCTCATGTTAAGATGGCTAATGCAACACATACAAGATGCAACTACAATAGGCTCGGCTATTCTAAGATGGCATGTGATGATGCTACAACTAACATGTATTCAACTTTGGAATTGAAATACAAATGCAGTTAGTATGATGCGCCGAGCCCGGTGCATGTAAGACAAATGTATGGATGCACGCATGCTATCATACTGTATGCTAATTGAAACATGCCCTAGGCTAACCATCGAAAGCTAGTAAATAGAAGGGAAGAAAGACGTGGGGTTGGGAGACATACACACACTCACCCATACTTATTACAAGTTAGCCCTCACTCGGAGGGACCGAATAAATATTACAGTCCGAATAAATAATACTAAATTAATTATTACAGAATTTCTAATTAATTAACAAATTAAATGCAGAAAGAAGGTGGCCACAGCCCCGCCTCGGGATGCGTGAATGATGCATGCTTGACTCGTCTCGCCCGGAAACTCTTTGCCATAGCACTGTTGCCTCTGTTTACACTGCCTTGCCCCTCTAAAAATTCTGAAAGTCCCCAGAACTGCTCCTTGAGCGTTGTGGAATGTCACCGGCCGAAACAAAATGCCACCGGCCATGGGAATGGGATTATCGGCCAAATCTTATGCTCTCGGCCAAACATGTTTTGCCGGTCGGCACCAGAAACTGCCGGCCGGCCAATTCTTCCTGCTGAAACCTGTAGCTGACAGCAGCAAAGGGCAAGCAGTGTATGGCATGGAATTTTCAAACAAATGTGTGCATGGCTACACTCCCTATCATGCAATGAACTTAAGGAAGCGTGGTCCTCGACCCTCGAGCCATCAATTGTGCATCTCGATGCATGATGGCCTAAGAGGCCGAGTTTGCGACTTAATGTAAATGCATGCAACACACAAATGAATGCTAACACCCTTTCATGTTGAGGTCAAGGGGGTCGGCGACCGAGGATCAAGGCGCGTTACGTCACTTTGAGTACGAACGCATCTCAATTCTCATGTTTGGTTTGACACCCCAAACCAAACAATGCAATATATGTATGCAAATGTAGCTCAACTATGCAACATGAGGCTAAGATGCAAAACATGTCAAATGCAATGCAATCTATCATGCAAGCATGCAATGTCCAAACATGCAATGCAACTAGCTAAACGACATGCAAACATGCAAATGTAATGCAATGTAAGCATGCAACCAATACAACGTAACATGCCAAACATGCAAAGTATGCGAGGATGGACTTATACTGAAATGAAAAGGCCTCAGCCCTCTCCAAAACAGTGGCCAAAGATGGTGTAAATGGTGGACAAATGTTCATGCAAACATGCACATCAATGAGCCTAAGACTAAGGCACAAAAAAAGAGCCTTCTACCACCACTATCATGACCACACATGGTACGAATTAAACAACCAAAAACAGAGTTTCAACATGCAAAATGAGCCCCCAAAATCCACTGATATGGTAGCCCTAAAGACTTAAACACTTAAGCATGCACAATGCTCATTTCAAGGCACAACAAAACAACTCTTCAAGGCATGAAAGGGATGACAAATTCAATCATACGAGCATGGGTTATGGACTGAAATAGCATGGGAAATGACTCCAAACCACTGAAACAACCCAACTCAAGCATGCTCATGGCTTACACCCTTAAGGCTCACAAGCCAAAATGCAAAGAGATTATACCAAACATGGCAAACATGATTAAATTAGTACCCCACAGACCTTAAACATGGCAAAATATGACCAAGGACTTCACAAAGCAAGGCCAAAATATGAGAGCATGGTGGTCTAATGGTATGATGCACTTTTAGACAACATGGAGGAATGTAAAGCAAGTATAATAGGCATGCAATGGGTCATTAATCCAACCAAGACAGAGGCAACATATGACCTAAACAACACCCAAAACATCTGATATGGAACCAAAAACAAACCAAACATGCATGTTACCCTTGTGAGCCAAAACATGAACAAAATGAGAGACCAAGGGAGAGGGGTGTCCCTCCCCTATGCAAGACCTCAAACTCCCTTCTTCACCACTGAAAATCCACTGGATTTCAGTAGTGAGAAGGCTAATACACCAAAGAAATCAAAACTTAATAAAGGAAGCACCAAAAGGGGCCAAACAAGGCCTAAGAGGGGGAGGTTGACCCCCAATGCCAAAAAAACCTTAATGAGATATCTTAAGCATGCAAACACAAGACTTTTTTCAGTTATACACAAAGTCTAAAACAATGAGCAAGATAGGAAAAAGTCCAGTGCAAGATTGGGGAATCTAAAGTAAAAGAGTTACCCTTGAAGAACCCTTGATGAACAGCAAGTGCAGCGTTCTTCTTTTGATCAAAACCAGTCCAAAACCTCAAGAATAAACCCCCCAAGCCTTTCAAATTCGAAGTATGGTGTAGTAGTGTGTGTTTGTGTGCAAAACTAAGAACAAACACACACTTTAGGCCCTCAAACACACACAAAATGAAGAGAGAGAGGGAGATATAGAGAGAGAGGATGATATATATCAGATATATATGTGTACAGCTCTATTTTTTTTGCTGAACCTAACAAAGGAGGAGGAGAGGCTCTCATATAGACAAGGGAAAGCTTTGAAGCTTCTTAGAGAAACTAAACAAAAAAGGGTCAAAGGGGGCAAGGCTTCCTGAGGAAGCTAGGACAGCTGGCAAGCTTCTTGAGGAAGCTTTGACAAAGGGTCAAGCTTCCTCAAGAAGCTTTGACCAAAAGGGGGCAAAAGGGGCAAAACAGCCACATGTATGCCCCAGGGTAGGTTTGGTGCATTCCAGCTGGCACAGCCAGCATGCACCATGCCTGAAAAAGGTAAAAAGGTGTTACCAGGGTCACCGGCCAAACAGATGGCCGGCCAGCCATACTGAGTGCCGACCGGCCAATGGTATAATTCACCAATGGCCGATAGCCTCAAAACATGGCCGGTGGCCTCAAACCAAGGCCGGTGGGTGTCAGGGGTAGCTAACAAGCTACTTTATACCCTCAGAAGCAAAAACACAAGTGTTTGGTGCAAAACCAAACACAGGACAGTCGAGTTGAGAGATCCTGAGGCAAGGCATGTAACCGAGACCTTCGGGAACTCAAAACGAAACACAAACATGAGTAATCACCGAGTGTTCGAGCAGTGACGTCCAAGTCTTGAGGACGGTCAAAAATGGGGTGTCTACAGTTGCCCCTCTTTGACAGAACTCGAAAGTCATAACAATGACGGGAGTGATTGTCAAAGCCCAGAGACGACCCATTTTTGATCAGGCCGAAGACTTAGACAAGGCATACAAGCTGCAGATATAGATATGTACCCGAGGGCAGGGGCAGAATGCAAGACAATGCACCAAGCCAAGCATAACTTATGATCATGCAAAGAAAGCTGTAAAGAAGCATAACATGCTACGGTTTTAAGCTAGCATACACCAAACTACACTACAATGCAGAAAGGATGCAATTCTCGATACGTCTCACTCGGAGAATACAGTACCTGTCTGGTTCGTCTGGTTGCACCAGCCTCAAATGAACTGTATATACAATATCGTGCCTGCAAAGAAAGCAAACTTAACAGGTACAATTTTGTTAGCAACATGCCTAATAATGCAATCGAAAGTGCGTGACAACGCAAGTCATAACAATGCTGTGAAGGCACAAACACATGTAAGTAAAGAACACGTGACAACGTGCACAATGTGTATGA